AGAGAGAGAGAGAGAGAGAGAGAGAGAGAGAGAGAGAGAGAGAGAGAGAGAGAGAGAGAGTCCCGATCTCTCCGAGGAGTTGGGGCTGGTGACGAAAGCGGAGGCGGAGGCGATCGACGACCGGTCGCGAGGGTCGCGCCGGGCGCGCTCGGTCGTCGGAAGAATCCGAATCGATGGCATCGTACTGTTTGTGTCCATATGTTGTTGATAGCCGTCCAGGACGACGAGGCGAGCCCTTGACAGTGAACTGAGGTTGCCATCGGCAACTCCCTGTGCACCTGCACGCCAGACAGATCATGCGCGCGGTGCCTGTCCTAGCGCCAGCTATGGCTGTCCCAATGAAAACTATCTCTTTTCTGGTAATCGAACGTCCTCTAGTACTTACTCTCTGCATTCTGTCAGTGTGTCTTGCCCTCAAGCGACAGGGCAACGGCGATCCATCGAACATCCTCTAGTGTCTGCTCTCTGCATTCTGTCAGTGTGTATTGCCCTCAACCGACAGGGCAACAGCGATCCATCGCAATCAGCAGTCTCTCCCGTAGCAGTCTTAATCTCTGTCACCTGATCTCTCTCTCTCTCTCTCTCTCTCTCTCTCTCTGTATCTCTGTGTCTGTGTCAATCTCTCTCTCTCGCTCTCTCTCTCTCTCTTTCTCTCTCTCTCTCTCTCTCTCTCTCTCTCTCTCTCTCTCTCTCTCTCTCTCGCTCTCTCTTTCTGACATTAACGCACACGATCATGATTGGCTCCCGCAGTCCTGTCACGAGCTTGAAGGAGGAGGAGGAGGAGGTCGGACGATAGGAGACTGCCTTGTGAAAGGACGCTCCAAAGTTTTGACGGGGCATGCTGTGGCAGTTGTAAGATAATCGGAGGACGATCGATTTTTTTGTTTTTGGAGGTAGCGGTTCGGCTGCGAGGAGGGGGGTCGAGGTGGGAAGGAGGGGGGTTGGGGGTGAAGGGAGGAGTTTGACAAGGAAACTGAGGTCGGATGAAGCAGTAGTCACCTGCAGGAATTCACCGCCTGCCCTTCCGGCTCCGGCTTCCTGAAGTCGGCTTATAACGGCCGTTTATCCCATCTGCCTGTTGCTCAACAGCTGGGACTTCAAGGGACGGAAAAGGGAGAGAGAGGCCGCGGGCTGTGGCAGTTGCTTTCGTCGTGGAGCTTGTTGGCGGGCTCGGTCGGAAGAGAACGGCGGGCAGAGATCGGCTTTTCTTGACATACGACCGCGGCAAAGGTCAGTCGCTCGTTGATGTTCTCGTCGTTGTTTTCATTATTTTTGAAATCTTTTTTTTATTTGCAAATGTCTTTAAAGCAGAGCAGTCAGTTGTTGTCACTCATCGCCCGTGTATAGACGGCTCCAAATGTTTACCCTCCCCCTCTCCCAACACCATCTCCTTTCCTGGAACTTGCTCCGTGCTTGTGGGTAGCAGCATGTGGGGGATATTTTGCGCTTGCAGGGGTGGCGCGGGTGGTTGGTGTGCGGCTATGAGATGTGCAACATCCCCGTGCTCTGCTGCTGAGCGAGCGTAGTGTGTTCACTTTGTTGCGCAGGTTCATCTGTTTTTTTTTTTTTCGGTTTTTTTTTTTTTCAATTGCCTTATTTGTTTGTTGACCTTGCAAGTTGTGATCCGATCCTCAGCCGCTCAGCGAAGACCTACCTACGCCTGAAACGTACCTAGACGTTTACTCGACCTTACTGTGGCCCGGATTTTGCAAAGCTTTTTCCTGTTTTATAACGTCTTTTATAATTGGGTTAACAGGACGAAAGATTGAAAATGTGCTTTGTGCTTGCGATCCTAGTCAGGGCATACTCACACTAGGACTTTTTTACTTATCTCTGGAAGTAATTGCGGCCAGATTCATCCAACTAGGGCGGTAATTACTGTCAGATACAATGAAGATTGTGCTGGTATGCTCTCAGTTATATAAAGTAGCGAGTGTCTCTTAAGAGGGAATCTCCTCCTGATCGTATGTGACAACGCCCGGTGTCACGTCTCCGCCCGTGGTCGGATTGACCTATGATGCGGCCAGATAATCCCAGCTAGCGCCGAAATTACGGTCAGATACAATGAAGATTGTGCTACTGTGAGTATGCTCTCAGTTAAGTAAAGCTGCAAGCGTCTCTCAGGAGGAATCTCCTCCTCCTCCTCATGGAATACGCCAAAGCTCAATGTCACCGTCGTCACGTCTACGCCCGTGGTCGGATTGCTGTATGGACGGCAGTCTGTCCGAATGGATGGTTAAATTGAGCACCGGCGAGTCAGTCTAACGAGTTGTTGTTCTCCGGATCTTGACTTGGTCGAAGGATTATCGCCGCAGCTGAATCCACCCGGCATTCCAGTCTGGTTCGCCCCCGCCAATCCTGTTTTATCCGGTTGTTCACTAGACATGTTATTCATGCTTGTGCTTCCCCTCGTACTAGGATCTTTTTTCGTTATTAGTAGTATTATTGTTTGATATTTTTCTTTCTGCCTTCTTTGTTGCAAGGCCAGTTTCCAATCACTCGCAAGTTTCCGAATTATGATTCAACTTTTCTTTAGAGAAGAAAAATTTTCGATAAGTGGATGCGGCTCATTCGTACCTGTCTGATGGATTCGATGTGTGTGTGCGTGCGTGTCTGTGTGTGGAGAGAGAGAGAGAGAGAGAGAGAGAGAGAGAGAGAGAGAGAGAGAGAGAGAGAGAGAGAAAGAGGAGAGAGAGTGAGAGGGTCATGACGATGAGATATGAACGCGCCCGTTGAAGCACACTTGCTTTTTTGGGAATGCAGTTACGGGCATGCATATCTCAGCTCGAGAAGATGCATCCTCTTGCTGGTGCCAGTGCCCCCTCGAGGTCCTCCCACTTCCCTCCCGGCGTTCCTGTGCCCCTTTTTTGTATTCCCTCTGCTCTCCTCCCTTCCTTCAGACTCAGCCAGCTCCAGTCTATCGATGATAATAGTTCTTTAGAATTAGGCTTTTTTATTGATCCACTTTCTTCACGTACGTTGTTTCTAGTGACAAGTGTAGGAGTATTAGTTATGTCCTATAGCCATGGTTATATGTCGCATGATCAGAGTTATGTCAGATTTTTTGCTTATTTGAGTCTATTTACAGGAAATTACAGCTTCTTTTTTTTTTTTTTTTTTTTTTTTTTAGCACCCTGGAAATTACAGCTTCTATGTTAGTGCGAGGCTACGCCCGCTTAGCCCCCACGGGGCCCTATATGCAACAAGGTCGGCCGCCGTAAGTGAAGGCAGGCCCTCAGGGCCTCGTTTTTCAGGGTACCCTGCATTGGGGAAATTCAGACAGTTGCGCTGCGCCAGTTGGTTGAAGGCTCCCAGGCCCAGGCCACATTCTGCAAATGAATTCGAGTGGCAACCTGG